GTAGTGTTCAAAACCACTTCCCCTCCGAGCCAATCAGAAGCCGGGGCTCACCTGTGGCCCTGAGGTGAAGTTATTTATAAACGCCTCCCTGGATTATTTGAGCAGAGCCTTTTCACACACCTCAGGAACACCTCTCTGCTGCCTGCTGCCCGCTGCCCGCCCGGACACACCTGCAGCCCTGCCCAGCCAGCTCTGCTCACTCAGAGGTAAGCCCCACCCAGCCCAACCCACCCTAAGGGCTGGGGGTTATCCTGAGAAGAGGACAGGCCCCAGGGGTACCTCCAAAAGAGAGAGGAGAGGGTGGGCGCTTGCCAACCTGAGCACAGGGAATGAGGACACTCTGGACGGGCGCCTATGAGCAGCCCGCCAGCCCTGCCCCATGTGGAGTCCACCGTAAAGACCTCAGCTACTAGGCTGAGGAATGAGCAGAACGGACACTGGATTGGAGGAGGTCAGTGACACTCAGCTAGAGTGGGGTAAAACAAGGCCTTCCAGGAGAAAGAATGGAACCTGGGCCTTCCTGGGGCCACCTGGGTCTCTTAAGCACTCTCTACTTCTTTTCAAGTCCTGGAAGCAGAGGGCTCTGGGTACATCTGTCTGTGTGGCTGTCACCGTTCTTCGGTCCCTAGACACCCTCCTTCCCTCACTTACTTTCCCGAGTTCAGGGTACTGAGCATGAGCTGTGTGGACTCCTATTTGGCCCCTGTCACTTCTGTGAAGCTGAGAGAGGTGGACAGAGAGGAAGCTAAGGAGCAGAAGTGAGGGTCAGGCCCCGCCAGGCAGGAGGAGCATGAGTAGTGCAGCGTGGAAGGGTCTGGGTCAGTGGGGTAGGAGAGGAGCCAAGCCCATAAGCGCCCAGCTCCTGAACTTCCCACCCCATAGTTCTCAGGGGTCCCAAGGCGTCCCTAGACAGTGCCTCTGCTCTGGAAATCAGCCCAGAGGATCCCCAAACTAAGCCAAGCAAATCTTTTATCATCACAGCACCAACTACTCAGTTGAACTTGGGTCTGTTAGGACTGAGTGCCTGGAGAAGACCAACTGTAAGGATGTGCCCTTTGGAGTGGTAAAGCCTTCCCCACCGGGAAATAGGACAAACTGAGAGAGGAATTTCTCCCTATGTGTTTTTAATTGAAGATGCTCCTCTCCCAGAGCCCCTGCAGCCACCCCC